ACTGCATATACAGCAAGAGGAAGGGGACGTGGTCGTGGTCGAGGAAGGTCGACACCCACACCGTCTGAGGTGTGAATAAAGTGAGTTTCAAGCGTCTTCTATTACTATTATTATCTATTAACTATTATTTCGAACGATGCTGAGCTCTTATGTCATCTTTGTTATCCAGTGGTGTGTGGCACCATGGCTATCATTATTCGATATGTGACATACTATATGGTAAATAACTTCTAATTTTTAGGGCTTACAAAATGACTTTTTGTTTCAGAGATAGCGCAGATCCGAGAGAAAGTGTTGATTGCTGTCTATCTGTATTTCTACTGTGTCCTACGGTTTCGACTACCTACTGTAGAAATACTGCTTATTGTCATTTTATGTAAAGAGCAACACTATTGTCATTCCTTAGATAGCTTCCTCATTGTACCATCTTGATCTCTTTTCTTTTGTTGTTGATGGATCTTGAACAGATATTAAGTACTCGCTGCTCTATCCGTTGTCGCACCAGTAATCTCTGTGAGTAATATCGACATAAGGAACACGCCCGTAGAGGCCACAGGAGCCAGCGCGGGCTCAACGCGCGCTTTGAATAATCTCTGTAATTCTCTATACATCTATCTCATGCTGTGACATAGTCATCTTTTTTGTACACGGAGTATATAATAAAAAACATTCGGACAGTTGGAGTTATTTGTAAGGCCAGTGCAGTTCACCACTGATTAAAGGATCTTCACTGTTTTGTGGACAGCGAGGATATGCGAGATAGGCCGTCTTCTAATATTTCATGTTTTGCCCCTGACAACCAGAAAAAATAACAAATTTATAAACAACACAACAAATTAAGCAACAATCTCGTATCGCAGAGGTGCGAGAAGCTCTGGCTTGTTGCTTTGGGTGCTAACGAGATGACCCGGTCGAGGTCCGACGGGAAGGCGCTTAAGAACTGGCAGTGGCTCGCCAGCGGCTTTCGCTGCCTTCTTCTTCTCGTCATTAGCTTTCACGCGGTTCAAGAAGTCCTGTCGGCATGTGGACGGCTTTACGTGCTCGACTCGGATGTTGATACGTTTGGGAATAATTCGTCCTCTGAAAACTAGTTTTTCAATAACGTAATAATAATACTAATGAATAGCGTTTGGCTTGATTATTTGGCAGTCAGCTGCACTTCTGATGGGTCTTAGGTGTAAGAGCTATGGAACGAACGTTCGTATAGGAGTGGCCATTTCAAAAAAACGCTTCGAAGGCAAAACATTATT